CTTCGGTGCGAGATCTTTTCTTCTGTTCTCTTTTTAGGCAGCAGATGAAAATCCTTTTAATAAAAAGCTTGTTTGGGGGAGGAAGAAAAACACACGCACACGCAAATCGTCTGAGCAGGGAAAGATGAAAACCTCCTTCAAGGTAATTAAATGATTATGTATCTTTTAAACCCAGCGGATAATAGATTTGTTATCTAGGCTTGCTTTTAGCTTTTGCCATTTTTTTCTCTCTCTTTCCCCCCCCCCCAAAGCTAAAATCCTTGTAAGACCCAGAACAAGATAGTGTTCATCTTAGAGAAGGCGGCACAAAAGAAGACTTAAATCCTTTATCCCATCAACTCAACCCCAGCTTACCCATCCTTGTACAGATGTCTGTGAAACACTGACATGAAAACTACCCCAGTGGATCAGAGCAGGTCTGGACGAAGACAAGACAGACAATGCAATCAGGTGCATTGGGTAATAGGTATCAGGAGAGACAGGTGCTGTTTCTGCAGCCTCTATCGCACCGGAGACTTTCAGACCAACTGTTTTACTCCTCCGTGCCTCAGTTTCCATTCACTACTTGTTGACTGTCTTGTCCATTTACAGAAGAAAATGACTGAGGTCTCTTACTCAGTGATTTTGTCAAGTAAGTAAGGGTTGATTTCACAGCATGTTAGTGGTGCGATGCTAATCCTGCACTATGACCAGCTCTGGTCAGCAACAAAGTCGAAAGCAGAGACAGGATGGGCAAGAAAAAAAACAGAAACTTGGCCTGCTCTCCCCTATCTTTAAGACTAATTCTTTCCTCTTTCGCCACCAGCTCTCTTTGGGAAAAACAACAGTCTACTTCACTATTAAAATGTCTTCTTCTTTTTTTTTTTTTTTTCTTTCATTCTTTCCCTTCCTGCCCCCCAAAACAATAATATCAGTTCCCCTTTATAAAGCAAAAAGTCACTTTTTCAAGCTAGCAGACTTGGCTTTCAAAAACCCGATGTAAAGGGAAATTATACGCCAAGGTGAAGTATTTCTGACAGAAATCATCCAGAGACATCGTCAATCCTATTTGATTGAATTCAGTGCCATAATCATAAATAATCTTGCTTTGTGACCACACCGGAGTTCTTCACCAGGAGCAACCACAGGCTTTCCCAAGTCCCCCAGACAAGTTGATTCAGCTCTATTATGGGCACAGCTGATTCATCGACCACCTAACAAGTGACAGGTAAGAAAGTCATGGTTCCTTGTTGATAGCAAAAGACATGCCTCTTCTATCCTTTCTCCATCTCTGGTTTAGTTTTGCCAGGTGGTGGTAGGACAACTGCCTTGTACCAGCCTGGGGCTGGCTGGTTACAGCTATCCATGATGCAATTCAAAGGCTCCTCTTGGATGGTAGATCACAGGCTATACAGCTAGAAAAAATATTTTGCCTTCTGGACAGTGTGGGTCATGGCCAAAGCCTTTCTGCTGCCCCACTGAATCAGTCTCAAATTCATCCTGCACTCTGCATCAATCAGCAACTCATACTGCATGGAAAAGAAAAGAAAAAAAAAATAGTAAAAAACCCAAGATCCTTTCAGACAACATGAAGAAGACCTGAAAGGGTCTGAGCCCATGGTAATCCAGAAACTTGTGAGATGTGCTAAGGAAATGATGGAATCAGAAGTACACAAAGGCACGAGCTTCCCTTCAAATTGCTCCAGGCTGGTCCAGAGGTAATGGTACCAGCCCAATCGGTCCATTTGCAGCTCAGGCCATCTGGAGAGTGGGAAGCCTCTTCCCACATGATGGCAAGATGCTGTACAGGCAAAGAGTGGAAAAAAAGTCACCTGGAGGTGGGTGTATCAGCAAGAGAAGATGAAGGCCATAGTGAGGGGGAGGGGAGCAGGCTTGGCATGCCAGCCATGCTGATTACAGAGGAAAGGAGTTTCTGGCACCAGTCCATATGACGGAGTAACACCAATATTTGTTTGCTTGGCAAGGATTCTCTTGGTGCAATCAGACCTTGCGATCCTGGAAGCCAGCCATGCTAATCAGCAGACTCATGGAAGGACTGCAAACGGGATGGTCCAACCATCCCACAATGGTAGTACAGTTTCCCATCAGTACCTCCTCGAGACTTACTGACTTAGCAGGTACTCATGCCTGCATGGTAGCAAAAGCTTCCCTGTCATCATCCTTCGGGGGTCCAAGGAGAGGAAAGGATCAAAAGCAGTAGTGCAGATGGAGATGAAAGGTCAGTAAAAACAGGCCCGCTCAGGGTGATGGTACTTTGTGAGAACTACAGAACATGGCATTGGGAAGCCTAGAAATGGACCTGAGACCTTGTGAGTCATGTTATGTCATTGGGAACTGGGTGGAGGCCTGGATGGGCAATAAAGAGCCAGGCTTGGCTTCAAGGTACCAAATGGTTTCTGTTGTTCAAAGAACTCACTCAACAAACAGGCATGGGCACAGGACAGAAAAGGAAAGAATTAAAAAAAAATAAAACAACCCAGACTGGAAATTTCAGGGAGATGAGTCAGTGAGAGATGGATACTCAAGAGAAGCGTGGGAGATGTACACATCATTTTTTTTCAAAGTGCCATCTGACAAAACCTTTCTGGCCACATAGTGAATGTAAATCTGTGTTTGTCAGAATGCACTTGTGATGCCATCCTTCCCCAGCCCTAGTGTCCTTGAGGGACACAAGCACACAGATGGCAGTGAGAAGGACCCTGAAGCTACAGGGCATTTCTCACATTGCCAGGCAGAAAGCTATCTCTGAGCGTTTTGGGTTTTGCAAGGCCAGTACCCTTGTAGATACTGTCCAGTCACTCCAGTGCTGAGAAGTATTTCTTCTGTGCAGCAGACAGCAAAAGCAGCTCCTGAGCTGCGCAGCTGACTGACAGATGTTGTCTCCTGTGGGAAAGAAGGTTTGTGCCCAGAGATGGTTTGGCTGCAGAAGCCAACATGGCTACTGCCCTCATTAGCAGTGACCAATGTAACACATGTGTGTCATTGCCTTGCATATCAATAGTCATCTTCTAACGTCAGGTTGTACCTCTCCCTGCTGCCATGCAAATCACACAGAACAGCTTGGTGATCAGAGAGGGGGTATTTGGAGCTCAGCAGGAAATCCTCTGTTAAAGGGGAAGGAAGAGGGCAAGAGCAATCTCTACTGACAGATGAAGCCCCCCCGCCCAGACTGGAGCTGTCTCCTAGTCTGAAGAGGATAACTTTCAGAAAAAAAACTGGTGAGAGGTGATAAAGCAGTGATGGAAAAGTTGTGCTAAAGTAGGCAGATCTGCAGAGGAGAGTGTGTCCACTGCCTCCTCCCCAGTTCTGCAGAGCAAGACCTTGGAGAGAATAAAGTAAAGACCAGGGGCTGTACCACCCCCAGTCCCATCCCTAAGGGATGACACAGAACTCCTTGTGATCTTCTTTCTGACGGGAACGAGTATCAGAAATACCAGAGACGTGATAGGGGATGAGGGAGGAGGAGGTACACTGAGATTTGTAGGCACTTCATTTGGGGCAGGGGGTTGGAGGAGAGAAGAGATGGGAACTAGGAAGGCGAGTCCTGCGCTTGGTACATAAGACACACCAGAGGAGGTAAATGGTTGTGGCATTGCACAGCAGGAAGCTGAGACAAAGTGTCCCAGGGAATGTCACCTCAGCAAGAAGGTGATGTCCCTCTGGTTCCTGAGGTGGAAGGCACAGACACCCGTGGCCAGCAGGACTGGCCAAACCCTGCCAAGGCTCCAAGCAAGGGAATAGGCCCTGTCTGGCTGGGATAGTCTTCAGAAGGGCTGAACTCTGGGCTGCCTTCCTTCGCCACCGAGCAGAGAGTGTCAAGCCCTTCAGCTCCTCAGCAAGTTTTCCAGCAGGTTTACAGCAAATTCTGAATCCTGGTACATGAAGAACTGGCAACCTCCCTTCTTATGAATATTTATGGCCTGTCCCAATGCCACAGCAGTTCAGGATGTCTGATCCAGGACACCTCAACCAGCACATATGTGACATCTCATCCAGCACATAAGGAAGGGGTGGGAGGGAACGGGGAGTGCCACAGGAGTGTAAAGACACTACACGTGTGTCATTCGGTCTGGCAAACTGGCTTACCCGGGGCAGGGGCTGGAGGTAGGTGGGGGAACATGTTAGAGACACCCGAACCAGCAGGCAGCTCAGGGAGCAATGGGAATTTCACCCTCCAAATGTGACACACGTTGCCGGAGCCTTCAGCAGCCACCTCTGTGCCCGGTGGTTCAGCAGATATCAGATCTCTTAATGGGTACTGGTCCCTTGGGCCAGGCAAACAACGAGCCACCTCAGGTCATTTACCAGACGGGCCAGGATGCTTTCAGACCATTCCTGACCAGGAAGCAATTAAATGACTTCCTATTTGTATTCTCCCGAGCTCCACTTGTCTGCAAGTGTTTGTTAGTTACAATGCAAGCCAGACAGCATTTTCAGAGCAGCAGCCAGCTCTGCATTAAGCCCCAAGGTCCAGTTCAGCTCAGTAACTGGCAATGAAGCATTCCCCAGCCTCATCTGAGGCAGTCGGATGCACTGGCCATTAGGTACCAAACCCATGAAGCCACAGAAGTGCTCAAAGCACAGCCGAAACCCACTGACACTCTAGACAGAGCCCTAAATGGTCCCCAGGTCTCAGCAGCCTGGGGTATCTCCTTAGAGGCAACCTCCTTCTCCCCTGGAGGACATGCATGTCCAGTGTTTCCCATCCCTCACAGTGCCTTGGTGCTGGGAGTTTGCAATAACTTTCCAAGGTAACACACTCCTTGTCATGTATGAGAGTGAGATGGCAGCTCCCTGGGGATCTGGTAGAGCAGAGGGGAGCTATCTGCAGAGGGAAAGATGAGGGTGTCCTGGAGGGGAAACAGAAGGGGGAGAGGGTGGGACTGGAGGTGGAGAAGACTTCCTGGTCTGACACAGGCCAAAAGGTGACAGCAGCCCTGAGGGACATGACAGTAGCCCACGTACACGACATGTGACCTGTGCCCCATGCCCCTGCCTACCTCAGGCAGCTTGACTCGTCCCTCCTGGAAGGAGCAGGAGCTGGGGTCATGGGTGCAGACATGGCGGTACTTGCACCAGTGACACCGGTAAGGGCTCTCCACACACGACAGACACCTGGAAATAGAGAGAAAGAGCAGTCACTTGGCCAGTTGGATCCCATTAGCCAACAGGACAGACCTTGAAGCCGATAGTGCTTCTCAGAGGGAACTACAGCCCAGCAAACAGTGCTCTTGCCATCACTAGCAGAAGGCCACAGGCATTGAACTGACCCAACACCATTGAGTTACAGGATGGCGCTGGATTTTCCATGAGCTGGTTGTCACTATGATCACAAGTGTCTCATGTTAACTAGATAATTTAGATAGCATTCATGTAATTGCAACTAGAGTAATAATAAATCTTCGGTTTATTTTGGTTGCCCTGTTACAGCATTTAATCAGACTATCAAGTTCTCAGCTTCATACGTAAGCAGCTTTCCCCTTTTTGCCCATAACAAAATCCTGAGTCTAACAAAAAAAACAAGATCAGGGTAAATGCTACAGCCTCGCTGCCTCCACGCTGAACTGCACTAGTGTCCTGGGAACTGTGAACACATCACGTTCAAGGTGACCAAAGGAGGGGCTGGCAGGAGGAGTGATGCCCATGGAGGGCAGTCCCTGTGCACCAGCAGACCCATCTGGCTAATCCTCCCACTTTCACTGGTAGAGAGGCCAGACACAAATATGGATGGACCAAAGCCAGAAAGCCAAGAAATAAGTAGGGAATTTTCTCCTGCTGTTTCCCACAGGCTTATTAGTGTGAGTTCTGCCCAGGGTGATGGGGCTCCTGCAAATATATTGACTGTATTCTTCTTTTCTTCATCTCAGCAGAAAAGGAAAGATTGTTGTAGCAGCTGCCCAGGAAGCAGAGGGAATATTTGGAACATTACCTACTCAGGCTGTAGGAAAGATCCATTCCCTCCACCTTACAAGGTTTTGCTCTCCTATGCCCCTGTAGAGTAAGAGCTGCAAATTTTTTTTTTTTTTTTTTTTTTTTCTAATTTAATACTATGTCTGCTCACCAGCAACCAAACTGAGCCATAACAAGCTCTCTGCACAAAACAAGCACTGGATGGTATCGACTCCTCACAATGTTGGTCACTCACAATGTCACTCACAATGTTGGTCACTCACAATGTTGGGAGTTCTTCATGCAGCTGCAGGCTCTGAAGTACCTGGAGGGAACTTGGGGTTGGAAATATTCCTGGTCCTTATGTGCCAGTGGGTTTTTAATGGGTAGGACTGAAAAAATTGCCTCCAATATTGCTTGGCTGAGCCCAACAGGCAGACGCACACCCTCTCTCCTGTCTCTGTGAAGTCTCGCTCAACTCCAATCCACTTTCAGCTCTGGTACAGCAAGCTATTCTTCAAATTGGTAACAAGTGCTTGCTCTGATACATCAAATTAAAAATGGATAGTGTATTATAGTTTGTCAAGTAAGAAACCAAAACATGCCATAAATATTTAACACCACCATCTCTCCTGCTTTCCCCTCCAACACTTGCTTTCTGACACTGTTTGTCAAAGCAGCAGGAATAGGATTTGCCTTTCCTTGTGAATTGCTGAGCCGCAGTAATTATCTGCTTTTGGCACTTCTGATGGCTCAGTGGCGGGGACAGGGCCACTCAGCCTTGCTCAGGGGTGGATCAACCTGCTGGAAGAGCATCTTTCTGCAGGAAAGCTGCAGATCTGCTCCAGTGGGGCAGCTCCTGAGCAGCCCTGGGTGCCAGCTAAACCCCAGAAGAATGGGGTGCAGGGCAGGAAAGGAGCTCACAGGATGGAAAAGATGATCTTGAGAGAAATAGCTGGGTGATCCCTGCTCAGTTCACATGATGCAGGAATCAGAAACTCTTGTTCTTCCAGATCTGAGGGTCCACGCTAACCACCTGGGGCAGGCTCCTGCTGGTTGGACTGACAGCATGGGTGAAGGTTGGAGGTACGTATGTACGGGCAGGATCCAGCCATCCAAAAAAGATGCTTAACAGGAAGATGGGGGCCATTTGATGAGGTCATGACTCACTTTTGACTCAATTCTGTGGTAAATTCCCACTAACGTGATGCTGCTCTGCCTGAGAGACACATGGGGATGTACCACTCCTCAAAACAATTCTTTCCTGCCAAGGAGCCTCATCAACAGAACAAAGGGTCACTATACTACTCTTGGTCATCTCATGAGGGACCCCACCATAGTGACTATCACACAAGTGACCCTGACCCCTGATCACCTCCACACCTCACCAGCTTCCCAATGGACACATGCCCCAGTCAGCAGCGGGTGCTGTGGCAGATCCAGGGGTGGAATGGAAAGCAGGTATCAAAAGAAATGAACATACGAGTTGTGGACACTGCAGTTGTAGAAGACGAAGCTGGTGCTGGCAAAGGTCATACCAGTTTCCTTGGACTTGAGCTGAAGCTGGACGATGTGATGGTCTCCTGGGGAAAAAATAGACACATTAGTGTGTGACTGCTTTGTTAGCCTAGTTAAGCCCTGTCGGCAATGCCACCGGTCTGACCTGGAGCTGTCCCACAGTACCTTAGTCTATCCTCAGTAGATGTAGAAAGTGTGATAAAATCCTTCTAGAGCCCAGTTCCCAACAGGTACATCTCCCCCTCTTGTGGGACAGGGATGATGAAATATGCCTTCACCCCTGGAAATTATTATACCTGGGAACAGAGTCTGGGCTTGATGATGATGACAGGTCTGGACCATACCTCAGTTATTTAAAAATAAAATGACTAAAATCATAATATGGGAAAGCTAAGCTCAAAGAAAGTATGCAGATATCTTTAATTAGGAGACTGTTAAAACGGATACTGTCCTTGAAGTTCTTCCTTGTTGCTGGTTCATTGGTGCCCCCAGAAGGAAGGGGTCTGTGGAAGATGTGATTGCTGGCCCCAGACATACACTGTCTGAAGGATAAACATACCTGCTTTCCTAAGGGGATAAAGAAAGAATTACTTTATCCTCACCCTCATTATTTAACATCTCTGAGTAGGACCCAATAGCCAGGACAGCCATGCCTGAAAAACAGCACCTCCAGATCCTGCCTCCAAAGAGAGGTTACACCTTGAGAAAATAGGATGAAGGAATGAGCAAGGAGGATAGATACCATAACAGGACAGGGGATCCCTATCTGCAGCCTGGGAAATGCTGATGAACAGGAAGATTCCCCTGTGAACAGTTCCTCCAGGTTCACTCACCCCATTCACCCCAATGTCTATTCATCCCAGCCTTTGGCTTCAAAAACCCATCTCAGTGCAAGAGATGCCCACAAGCCATTGCACTTCCAGAAGGACCCATCCATCTCCATAGCAGACACATCTGCAGCAAAGTCTGCACCTCAGCTGCAACACACTATCTCGTTCCCTTTCCCACTGCTCCCAGGCTGGGCAGTCAACTGTTACCCCTCCCCAACAATGCCAAAAGCCCTGTTCAGAGCCCATCAGCTGCAGGTAATGAGTGGGTGCAGTAATCGCAGTAATTTGGTGGGGAAGGGACCCATGTTTAATTCAAGACTTCAACCTGGCTGGCCCTTTCACCTCTATTATTTTCTTCCTCACCTGAAAGATCCATTAATCAATCAGGCCAAAGCAAACTTGACAATTCATCTCAGCGTGAGCCCACGTGTACAGTCACCCACCTACGGGCGCACACACACACACACACACACACACAGTCGCATGCACAGACCACACACTTCACTAAACACATTTTCCTGCCAGTGCTCGACTCTGCTGCCCATCTGCTGCCGCCGGCTTTGACAGCTCTGTTAACCGCTTCGTATTTAACAAATTTGCCAGCGTCTTGCATATATTTTAAAACAGGATGTGAGGATTGGATGGCCCCAGAGATCAGGCGTGCTACAGAGCCACACGTCCTTTGGTTCGAATCCAGCTTCTGGCACTATTCATGGAGGACTTGGTCTTTGCAGAGGTGCGGAGCACCAGCTGCTGAAGTTGATACAAGCCGCAGGTGCCCAGCTTCTCTGAAAACCATGCTTCACATAAATCTCTCTCTTGTCCTGCCTCCAGCTTCCACTGCTATTTTTGTTTGCTGGTTGATTATAGCCTCGCCTGGGACAGATGTCCATACCAAGGAAATAGTTTCTGGCATCTATCTTGGTAGGCAAACATGACTGCTAACTCAGTGGGACCTGAAAATGGTAACAGCTCTCTGGGGGCTTGTTTTGGAACCAAAAAGGAGAGCACGTGCAGCTGTGTGCAGCTTGAGGAGAATAGAGATGATGGTCACAGTTTGTGTCACTTCGTTTTCTGTGGCCTGAGGATCCTCAGTGACAAACTTTACAGTAAATTTTCACAGGAAGACAAGGACCAAAATGACAGCATCCTCTCTTCATCCCTTGGGGTGACCAACAGGGTCAAGGTTTTTACAGTAAGTCCATGCAAAGAGCCACAAGTGCTCCTGAAAGTACTTAGAAAAGTTGTTAGAAAAAAGGAAATCAAAAAGGGCAGGAGGTTGTGGCTGGGGTACCACCTTGGAGACAAGGTATTTTTCTGTGCTGGACCACTTTCGGAGGGGGAGCCAATAGCAAACCTGGAAGTATAAAGGCTGGAGCCAGAGACAAGGAACTGAGCATACAGATCTAAATCTGGGAGGAGCAGGATGAAATTACAGACAGGATCGTTCAGGTCTGCAGGACTTTCTGGCTGCTGCATGGGATGGGATAGAGTGAGATCACGTACAGCCTCATTCCCTGGGCTGGATAACACCAGCCTGGGCAAAAGGTGAGCGACTATCCCACACCCGTCTCTTGTCTGTGCTAGATATATGCAACTGCCACTCGGTGGCAGTCTGAAAACACGTAGTATCACACATATAAGCACCTTAATGCAGGTAGTGGTATTGCAGCTCAGTGCTTACACACGTGTGCACATATAAACACTCACACATTCAGACAACTCATGCTACGATGTGCTGCTATGCAGCTCCACCAGCGAGTACTGGCACAGCATCCCAGCTACTCCCAGTGCGTCTCATACTCTGTCCTCAGGCTCCCATGAGCCAAACTCTGCTTTGGGAAAACAAACAAACAAACAGAAGAGACACAGGGGTGTGGAGTGAGGAAGGGAGAGAGAAGTGGTGCAGACGGAGGAGCTGTGGGATACCCACCGTTCTCTGTGATGATCTGGGGTACCTCTTTGGCAGCTGGTGAAATGCACTGGATCTGACTGCCCACCACCAAGCCATCCATCTCTGAAAGGTCCTCGAAAGTGCAATTGACTCCTGCTGACAGCTCGGGCACATTGTAGGTCTCCAAGACCAGCTGCAAGCAAAGTTGAAGGAAGGAAAGAAGAGATAAAAAAAAAAAAAAAGAAAAGAGAGAACACTAAGCCAAACAACAGAGCTGGATCAGTAGGAGAGAATTACACTGGAGAGGTTGGACAAAGAGCCTCTTGCTAGAGAGAGCATCCTCCTTCAACAGAAAGCAGCGATTCAGGAGAGGGATGTGTGTGCAGAGGGGGAAGGGGATGAGATGCTGATGCCAACACAAGTGGTACGTGGCTATGCAGGGACAACTGCACTGCATCCCAGTGCTGGCTGGGTCAGTGGAGGGGAGGGAGTGCTCACTGTCTGTCATGCAAGTGTAAGGTTAGGCAGGGAGTCTTTGGAGCCAGCCGTGAAGACCAGGGCTTTGGTGACCCCAAGGCACGCGGTTTCTGAGGAAGGTGACTACTACTCACAAGAGGCACTCTGCAGACTACAGAGAAACTGTAGCGCTCCAGTCTAACTCTCTACGGCCTGCTCTCCTAGCATCAGCAGATGGGGGAGCGCTCTGTCACCAAGTTCCTGTGTAAGGAGAGTCTAGTTACAGCCTTCAGTCCACCACAAAATAATGCTGTCTCTAGAGGCACAGCAAACCTCTCCTGCCCATCCCACCAAATAAGCAGTTGGCTCTGAGGACATGCTATACTGGGGCTCCGTACATTAAAAAAGGGGTGAAGGAGGAATTTCCTGTGGTTTTAGGCCTCGCAATACCTGCTGGCATTGCTATGTCATTGCTCGTGGTCATGAAAAAATGGACTCTCATGGCTGGTTTCCACCATATTCATTCTCTGGAAGGACCCTCATGCTGCTAACTTCCCAAACCACCTAATGACCTGAACCATGGCTCTCCATCACTAAGAGTCCTGCCCAACCCACCGGATCATGTCCGAACACAGAGAGGCATCCCAGGGTACTTTTAGCACCTGATGATGATGTAAGAGTTAATATAAATTTAGCAGTTTTATGACCAAGCACTAGAGCCAACCACTTGACACAGGCACAAATGCAGATGCTCTCCACACTTGCCTCCTCCGCGAGCTAGCTGAGGCCCCATCTGAGGTGATAGTCACTGAGAGGAGACACAAATGCATGCTGAAATATTGTTTATACCAGCATAAAGAACAGAGAAGGTCAGTCCAAGTGACAAAGAAGAAGAGGTTGATAACATAACACAATGCTTACTGCTCCCCCACACTGTGTTTTCCTCACTTAGAGAAGTCTTGGAGCTATTTCTTTACACTAGGCAACATCAGGGAGAAAGGCTGAGCAGACAGGCCTTAGCCTTGGTTGACATAAATAAAAACTTCATGAGAGTATTTTCACTTTTGAGCAATGGGAATGGCAATGGGAAAGGCGATTTTTGGTCTTGGATGAGGAATAGGAAAAAGCTTTGGTTATTCTGATGGATTTATCACTCAGGCTAAATCCATTCTCTCTACTCATTAATACTCTGCTAGCAATGGAGAAGGGGAAACTATTCTGCTTAACAAATCTCTCTCTGAGCATGGATGATGCAGAATGAAAATGTGCCATGCAAGAGATGACATGAATGGATAGACCAGTAGTGCTTGGCCACATATGTCATGATCCAGCACACACTCTGAACATACAAGAAGTCCTACATCCCACATGACTGCTCTGGAGGTGCTGCAATGAGAATCGTGGAATCAATCATAAAATACCAGATTGGAAGGGACCGCAAGGATCATCCGGTCCAACATTTCTTGGCAGAAACATGGTCTATCAAGATGGCCCAGCACCGTGTGCAGCTGAATCTTAAAAGTGTCCAGTGTTGGGGAATCCACCACTTCCCTGGGGAGATTATTCCAGTGGCTGCTTGTTCTCATTGTGAAAAATTTTCCTCTTGTGTCCAATCAGAATCTCCCCAGGAGTAACTTGTACCCATTACCCCTCCTCTTTTCCACGCGACTCCTTGTAAAAAGGGAGTCTCCATCTTCTTTGTAGCCACCCTTTGAACAGTGGAACATGATAAGTGATAAGGTCTCCCCTAAGCATTCTTTTCTCAAGGTTGAACAAACCCAATTCTCTCAGCCTGTCTCCACATGGTGGGCTTCCCAGTCCCTTGACCATCTTTGTGCCCTTCTGTCCCCAATGAGCCTGTCTCAATGAGGAAAGAATGGAGCCTTCCCCCAGCAAATATCTCTTCTCAGAGATCCCAGAGCAGCAGCCCTGGATGAAACAGACTCAGATGCAATTTTCCAAGTCCTTGTTAGTGCCCAAAATTTAAAAGATTGGCTGGCCACATAGATATCTTCTCTGTCTCTGTGGGCAAGAACTCAGTATCATTGACCCTTTGCTAGAACCCAAGTGAAACTCAGTAAGGACACCACCAGCCATTTGTTTGTTGTTGCTTCCCTTCTGGCTTGACAAGAGACTATCTGTGGTGACTCTTGTTGAGCTGCATCACCAGTCTATCTTGGACTCCCATCAAAAAGTTCATGCAAATTATTGGGCAACAGTCAGTTGATGGCAACTTCTGATCCCAGCAGCTCTGGGTTGACTTGCCCTGGGAGTAACCTAGAGGTAAAGACTTTTTATTCTGTTATCATTCTCAATCGCCCTGAGCCAGCTAGTCCCCCAGGATTTATTCCAACATGAAAGAATTCAATGACTACTAAGAGAATAAGAAAAAGAAACCTTGAACTCCCAGAAGAACAAAGGACTTAAGATGTCTCAGATCAGTTTTGTTTGAAGCCTAGGAAAGTAAAGTCACAGCAAAGTTAAGAGGCTGAAACAAAGCAGCAATGATTGGACATGCAAGCTTTGAAAGGCTGATTTCATTATCACTGAAGAAACCCTGGCACTCCAAAACCTGACACCTGGAAGATGTCTGGCAGCTGCACTTTGAGCAATTCCATTTAGACTTTTCAGGGTGTGGGACTAGTGGCCAACTTGTCCAGAGATGGAACTTTTGGGGTCTGGGGTATCAACTTAATTCCAGCCCAAACTAGTATGGTCAAAAACACAGAGCCCCAGTAGCCTGAATGAAATGGGTCTCTGCCTACTTCTTCGAACATGTTAGGATCTCACCATGTAAGGTGCTGCAGTCATGAGTCAGGAAAGAAACCACAAGCTGGTTAGATCTTCAACAGAGATTTCTTGCCTCAAGCACAGAAAATGATCAGGATCATCTACTGCTCTGCCAGCATTCGCTGTGTGGCTTTGTTGGCTGCTGACTTGAGAAGCTCAAGGCCATAAAGGTTAAAGCTTGTGCTGAGGAAGGTCTCAAGAGATAGCATGAACCTCAGCAGCGTTAGGTTCCTCTGCGTAGCATCCTGCCTCTCTGCTCTGCACACTTAGTGATGGAGCTGATGCAGGGTGGAGTTCTTGGTGGCTGAAGAAGGAGATATTTCCACCCATGATGATGGAACTTGGGAGCTTACTGAAATAACTCTTGGTTTAACAAATCCCTCTCCCTGGGAAGTAAACAGCTACACTGGGTGCACACAAACCTGCAGGGCACAAAATCCCTTCAGACCTGCCCTTAGCTACTCACAGGGAAGCTTCTTTCCACACCTCTAGATTGGGAATAGCTAAGGCCAAAATGTCCTCCCGTGGCAAATCTTTGTCTGTGCCAGGAAACTTGCTGGGGAAGTTAATGGAGTCCGGAGAACCTCTTGCATCAAGCTGCCAGTCCTTCCCACTCATGCTGAACCCAGGTTGCACATACCCGAGTCTGTCAGAGTGCATGGGCAGATTAAACCTGAGGGGAGCAAGGATTAACATTCCTCACCAATACGTTGTACTGGGAGACGGAGATGTTGTTGGGATGCACGGTAAGGCGGACGCACTGCTTCATCTCCGAGGCGAATCTCCGAGGCTCGCTGGAGCGCTCACACCGCTCCTTCCTTGTGCACCTGAGCAAACGGGAATAGAGAGGAACAGAGTTAACACAAAGCCAGCCGTGAGGATGAGGATAAACCTGGGACATTGGAGAAAAAAGTCATTTTGGGTGGAAAGTCAACACTGAACCCTCTGGGACTGCACTAGCTGGAAAACCACACTCATGCCCCGGAGCTCTGTGACTCCTGTGCTAGCAGCCGTGGGATCACTCAAGAGGCTGGAGAGTTGCAAGGACACCATGAAAGGAGGAAGGGAGGTGGGTGAAAGCCCCATCCTTTGGGTAGAATGCACAGCAGTAAAGATGCTCTTTCTCTACCCACATAGCAGGTACAGTCCTAAAATCTGACCTGTCCAAGGGCACTGGGACATCTTAGGCAGGGATGTCCTCTTGGAGTAGCAATGCAGAGCCCATGCTCTTCAGCCCTACTGAGATGATTGCAAATCTGTGGTGCTTCGGGGCTGCTGGTACCTCTCTGCTGGAAGGCGCAGCCCTCCAACCCATTGCTCAGCAGCTCCTAAGTAGTCCCTGGCAGATTAAGGGGGTTTGACATCTGGTTAGAAATTACCTGACTAGAGGTACCCAGGGTTGATTCTTTAAAATGGTGGGGTTCCCAATTAGTGAAAGTAGTGGGTGCATGGCACCTGGGCTCCACAAGTCCACGAAGCTTACACTATGCACTAATTATCGTCACCACTGTCACTGCCTGTTGTCTTATCTGTCTGGTGTAAACAGAAGCCAGCAATGTGAATTGGTAGCAGTGTGCCCCGTTTCAATCCAGATTTGTATTTGCTCAGCATAAAACACATCTGTATTTTACTCCACATGCGCTGCCAAGGCCATCGCTTCGAGGAAGATGTCTGCCTAGAAATCCACAGGGTTAATACAAAAGGACAGCTTCAACTGCATGCCAATTACCTTTTGCCATTAAGCTAATGTTATGGACTTGCACGGGGTGTCTTCAATGGATTTTGTTATTAGCAGTGCTATTACCCCCCATTAAAATCAGCTATAAAGACTAAGTGCAGATGTTAAATTATTCACCCACTCCCAGACTTCAGAGTCTTAGTCAGCTCCAAGATCACCCCTCAATGTCCTTGCTCCCTGGAGCAGAGATTGCACCTATAAGCACAGGGACTTTGCAGATGGTTATCTATGGCAACACACGCAAAAGCAACCCAATATACGGCTGAGCCCGAATATTACAAAGCATGGATGCTGGCCGAAACTTTAGGGCCTGGGTGTTTCTAGTGGCTGATGCTAGATAAAATGAACCCCCCCAATTTCAAACTCCTCGCTCCATCTTTCTGTTAGAGGAAAGTTCTGTGTTTCCAGTGGCAGGAATCATAAAGGGTAGATCTCTGCCATTCTCAGCACGCTCTCAGTTTGCTTTGCAGATTTGAGAGCGCCAGAGCAGCATTGCAGCTCCCACTGTCTGTTCCCTAGGAACCTTCATCCCATTAAGTCTTCTTTAGCTCTGCCCCATGCTGGATCAGGAATTTTAAATGTGCAGTCTCTAGAGAGCTGGACGGATAGCCGATTAACTACCCCCAAAACTGTAAGTCCCCTATTGCAAAACAAAAGCCAGGGCAAAATGCTGACCTGAGATTTTTGTAAGCACTTTTAAAAAACAAATAGACACAGCAATCCCATCAAAGCTCTGCAGGGCGTGGGAACTCCTCTCCTGGGAATAGCTCAGAAGGAAACCCTTTTGGGCTCGGTGTCAAAACACAAGCTCCCAGATTCTTCAGGGTGTCCCGCTACCTCCCATTTATTTCCTCCAGCTGCAGCACAACAGAATTGTCTCAAATTAAATGGGCATATACCCAGGCTCAATTCAAGTGTAATAGTACAGTCAGTGGCAAAAACATCCAGCATATTTGCACAGGAGGACAACACATGGGTATAGGTTAAGCATTTAGGAGTGTGGTTTGTATTCCCAGCCCCACCGCTGGGCACAAATAGAACAATCAACATCTTATCTCGCTGTTTACTGGTCATACACGTTTAAGACATGTAACTTCTGATGAAAAACTCACTCTATATTAGACTGAGCAGCCTTGGTGTCTGGTTGTAAAGGTGTGTTGCCATCCAATAATGAAATGATGAAAAACCAAACTACGCCTGGTTTTAATATAATGTTAAGGTTGGAGTGTCAGGCTGTCAGGAATTAGGTACTGCCAGACTGAAAGTAGCTTCTGCACTCCTAAATCTGCTCCCTGCACTCACACACTGCAAGCCAGACATTAATTACAGGATCACACATTATTATTCCTTTTTTCACGGGCGACCTCAGTTCAGCCACTTCCTAACTTTTGACTTTGACTGTCTGACATTTCAATGCAATTTCTCAATTTAAACCAAAGGAGGGAAAAAAACCCTAAACACCCAACTGTGCCTGGTGCTTGAGTCTGATGATGGGGGAGCTCTGCCAAGCTGAACCAAAGCAAGCTGGGCTCTGGGTCACTGGCAGGGTTCAGGCTCTCGAATCAACATCCTTGAGCTAGCAGCATAATTCACCCCAGGTAACTGATCCCAGCTGCTGCATAAATCAAGGCTAAAGGGATAGAGCCGCCTGCCAGTGGGTTTTACAGGTTTGTCCATGCAGAAAGGAGTGATGGGGGCTCTTCTCCAGAGCCTTTCACCCATGCTTTCCCCCATCTCCTCTCCTTTTCCCACCTTATTATCTATTCTGAGCTGAAGCATGTGCAGCATCCTGTGGGTTTACACACCACACTTTCCAGGTGTCTGCCCAGCACCTGCAACTGAGTTTTTTCAGAGGCAAAAATGTGGTGGATTTTCAGGGGAGCAGAAAAAGGTACATACCTGTCATAAAGTAACCTTCTCTCTGCCAAAAACATTCTGCCCTCCCCCAAGAGCAGGGGGGAAACAGCAGAGAAAATTGTTTCAGTATGTGCAGAGCCAAGTGTTGCCCTCCAGCATCAGTCTCTCAAATCCCTGACCGGTGTTGGCTGAAATGCAGAACGCAAAGCACCCAGCCACTGAAGGCAGCTGCCCAGAGGGGACATTGCAGCCCAAAATCTTAAGTTCAGCAAATTGTAAATAAAGGCAAATGGTACTTTTAATAAATAAGTACTTCCAGACACAAGTGTCTGCCTTAGAAATGTGGTCACCTGGAAGGCAGCTGCCTGCACAGGGCAGCAGGACTGTGAAAGGGATAATGAAACATCCCAACCCCAACTAATCATTTCTGTTGTCTCTGTTGAGAGTCTGTGTGTACTTCGGGCCCTGTGAAATTGCTGTGACTCTGCTGCGCGCTCATCTGGTGCGTCTATTATGGCTTATGCAGAAAAAATATCTTGTACTGCCAGTAACTGTTTCGCTTTAGTAAAATACATGTAACTCTAACATGCTAGGTCTGTCAATATGCTGAGATCACTTTCCTCTGCCATATAACCTAATTCAATTCTATTCATGCTATAATTAGCTGGGGCATAACTCCCACCCAGTGGCATCGCATTACATTTAAGACACCTAAAAGAGCATATTCCACTCCTGAAATTATTTGCATAAGATTATGCTGTAGACACGGCACTTCTCTGTACATCTTAATAACACCTGCTATTTCATTATCAGCTGCATCTTTAAAAACTGCAAGCGTCCTGCTTCTGTCCAAACCATTAGTATGAACACTAAGAAACTGGTCCTACCGCTGAACCATGAGGAATGTTATTTCCTCCTCATCTCCCATTAAGAATAAATACCGTTAATGCTAACCCTCTGTTCACCATCCACTAGCCAATTATTTTCATAATGTTAAATTAATACTTTGCGCTTCTATAGCACCTCTCATCTGAGGATCTCAAAAGGCTTTGCCTGGAGCTAATTAAACTTCACGATACCTCCGTGAGGGTGAAACAATACCACGCAGAGACAGGAAAGTGAGGCGTAGACGCATCCATGTCGGAGAGCAGAGCAAAGCCCAGGTCTCCTAAGGATGAGATGCAGGCCCTGGTTTGGGACCCATGAGATTGTGGTTAAATCCCAAGTCTGCCATTTGGGACCTAAAGCAACCTGCTGGGACCACATTCTGCAGTCAGAAGCTGCAGAGGGGTAAGGTGCTATTCTACCTCCGCAAAGAGATGCTAAGGGCTCTTCTGCCTTGCTAGGGCTTGGTCAAACCCAACCCAGACTCATTCCACAACCTTCAGGGTTTGTCTCTAAATGTCCAAGGTTAGAAGGGTTAATCTGAAGTCCAGAAAACTTTGGAGAGTCTGAGCATAGACCCGAGAGCTTCAAGCACCTGGATAGACCAGGTACAGGAAAGTTACGTGCAGTAATCCTCCACCTGCAAGCTCTTTGTTTTCCTACAGCGTGGGTAACAGCTCGTGCTGCTGCAGGGTTGGCAGCCTAACAGGAGGCATGTGTGCCACCTGCATGCTTTCACCTGCCTTTGCCTGTCAGTGAAGGCACATCTCCACTATCCTGCTGTAGAAAAATAACCCAAAACAACCCCCCTACATGCACACAAAACCCCACAAACCAAAAAGCACGACCTTTATTTTTCATCCTGGCCTCTTTTTATCTGTATCTTTGTTTTCTCCATGCCCAACATATGAGGTCCTGAACCTTGCTGCACTCTCACCACACAGTCCTGCAGAGCCTCATCCCCATTCTATCAGTTTACCCCAAAGAGTCACCCTTGTACTTCTCTGGAGCATTGCACCTCTCCTTCCTCCTACCTTGGACTGTTTCTTTGCCATCCAGACCTCGTGGGATCCAGACTAATGATGATAAAGTGACTGTGATATTAACATCTGCAGGGAATGGAGCTTGGTTCAGGAGGCTTAAGGTATAAGAAAGATCTTTTCTGTGTAGAGGCTAAGGACAGGGGGAAAACTGGGGGGGAAAGATGCTGTCTGCAGAGCGAAGGAAGCAGAGGAATTGTGATGCCAGGAAGTGCGTGCTAACTGAGGGCATCCCTCATGCGAGCAGTGGGGTGGGACAAGTGCCTCCAATGGGGATATTTCTCTGGCCCTCTCACTTCTTGTCTAT